ATAACGCTCTCTCAAGCTGGATGCGAAAGGAACTTTTCTACATTAAGTAGATTTATAAAGATAATCGATATAAGCTTGATATTTATAATGTTGAGTCAATGGCAAAAATTCAGTTTTATTATTTAACAAATATTAAAAAAAAATTAGTTTATTATGGAAAAGATTTAACTCAACAGAAACTAACAAATTCAGTAAATGAGACTGTAATTTCAGATATTAATAAATTTTTACTCTATTCAAATCAAGAACTTTTACTACCAAATACTCAGAAACTTTCACCAACAAACATTCAAAACTTTCATCCTTAAACATTCAAGAATTTCTACTATCAAACCTTTAAGGGCTTTCTCTATCAAATGATCAAGAAATTGCTTTACCAGAAGTTATTGAACAAACTGATACTCTTATGATTTCAGAAGTTATCAATATTACAAATTTATCAATCGAAACTAACAGTCAATTGAAAGTTAATAGATCATATAGTAGTAATATAAAAAATTTAAATTAGTTTAATTATAGTACAGATGATTTAATAACTAGGATATTTAAAGCAAATAGTGAATTAGAGTTGCAATTAGATTAGTAATATGGTACAAAACTTTATTATATAAAGAATTTATTGCTATCACTGTGGAGTATTAGTAGTATAATATAATAAATATAATAATAAAATTATTTATCATATTTTACAATACATTTAGCATAAATAATGTAATAATTATTTTTCATTTTTTGCAATAAATCTAGTAATTAAATATATTAAAAATTATTGTTTTGTGATTTTTGATTTTATAATACCAAATAATTTTAATTAAGTTTATATCCCTAATCACTACTATATCATTATAGAAGACTTTAATATAAATCTTAACAAAATAGCAATAAAAACTCAAGAAGAAAAAGTGACAAGAAAATACAAATTACTAATATACTAACAAAAGAAAACTTCTTAGACACTTTCCAGAAAGTGAATCTGATAGATACCAAATATATATAGAAAGATAGAAAAATAAAATCTAGAATAGACACAATATAGACAGATAGAAAATAGAGAAAAGACACAATAAAGAAAGAAATAGAAAGTATAAACTTTATAACAACAAGCAACTACTGTCTTATCTAGTGTAGAATAATTACAGATTTTAATATATAGAAAAGAAGCATAGCAAGAACAAAAAGAACAGACAAAACAAGAGTTAATATAGATTTTAGAAAAATAAACAAAAAAGATTAAGAAGAATACAAGATAAAACTAGATAAAAAAATTAGCAAAAAATTAGAAAATAAAGAAAAAGAGGAAAAAGAAAAACAAGAAAGACAGAGTTTCGAAAAAGCAAATTAACAAGAAGCAAAAAAAATAAAAGAAGAACAAATAGAAGATCTATAAGATATTATAAAATTAAGCATCAGAAAGGCAGCAAGCTCAATACTCTCAAAGAATATAAAAATACCAAAGATCAAGAAAAGAGATATATTATCAAAAACAAAGAAACAACATACGGAAGCTCAGAAACTGGT